GAGGTTCCTTCCAAGCCTGCAAAGAAGAACGTGGACTTCAGCGCGGCAGCGAGCTTGGTGGTGCCATGTTGTGCCGGTGCCACATAGATGATGTGCAAGATCTGAGGTTTACATGTCGAGTGATACTTGTAAGCCGGCGATCCGCAAGACTTCTGCAGGGGCGAGTCTTCAGGTCTGAAACACTGCTGGTGATGCCAGGGTTCCGATAGGGATGTTGATGCTCACTGCACCAGAGGGGGGCCGTGTGACTGTCGGGACCTCTCACGTGTTGTCACGGCAGCCTCAGCGCCTTCCCTGTGCTAGTCCTGGCAGATGTGATGATTTCAGGTGCCGGAGCCACAAGGGGCTGCTCCGTCCAAGGCGACCCGTAAAGGCGCGAAAACCACAAGCTCTGAGCCTTTGAGCATGACGAATGTCTGTGGATGCTTGTGCAGGCACGGGCTTCGTGTTGGCGGCCGACTTGCCGTTGACCGACGAGGAGGATGAGCCGGATGAGGAGAGGTTGTTGTTTTTCGTCACTGGCCGTAGTGCACCCTTCACGCAGCGAGTTGTTGGCTACAGGCTGCAGGCCGTACAGATGCGACCCCTACGTCGCCAATGTCGCCGGCCTGAAGCCTCAGATTGGTGGCGAAGCGCTTGTGGCTTCGTTTCTTGCGCAAGTCTTGAGGCGCCGAAGCCATGGAACATTGCATCCAAGACGGCGAAAAAAGGCAGCACAGTGATCCAGCCATATATCTGTGGGCTTAAGTAGACCTAGGCCAAGACGAAAGTCGCATCGGTTTGTGTTCAACAGCTGTTGCCTTTCAGGCAAGAGTTTCGTGTTGACAGAAGAGCTGCCGTTGACAGACGAGGAGAACGAAGAGGATGTGAAGGCGGCACACAGCAATCATGCATAAGATGTGATAAGGCTAGGCAGCAGAAATCAGCCGGATCTGGTGCTGCATTGCGATGTTCGAGGCGGGCGGTGCAGCGAAAGCGAAAAGGAACGTTGTCTTCAGTGCAGTTGCTCGGTTGCACAGCCAGCAATACGAAGGAGCTACTCGCAGCAAGCTGAAGTTCGCAAATTGGGTAGCTGCTCCGCGTTTGTCCACAGGTTGTGTTTGCTGCGACAAAGCAGCACACATATCCGACCACGGCTCATGTTCATGCCAAAGTGTGTTCGCGATTGCTCTTGGGCCGTTTCAATGAGTCCACAAGCGCCATAAGCATCGTCGGCAGGCAGTCCACCAACAACTCCAAGAAAGACGTCAGAAGCTAGCAGGAACCAAGTTGCATTGTCATCACTTGAGCAGCCTTATATGCCCCCACCAAACAAAGTGGGCTTGCAAGGCACCCCGGCCACCAAGGTGCGTAAAGGCCAGCAATTTCAGCAGGCGATTCGTTTCAGACAAACCTTTCGCAGTCTCTTACTGGGTGCTTCCGGCCGGCACAACAAAGCTTAGCCTAGAAGCTCAACTGATGTGATGCGCACCTTACAGTGACCACATTCCCGGCGTCAGACATTGCAGCAAAGCTGTGGACTTGAGTGTGCTCACTCTCAGGGTGTGCTTGAGACGTGACAGCACCCACTGCATGGTGAGGTGCCCGAGTCACAGGGAAGT